CTACGGGCTCGGGTTACTTGTGCTCGCCTCTTTTCTGGCTGTAAGCTACGAGATGACCCTTTTAAGTTTTGCAGAGGAAGTGAGAGTTGAAATCACTACTGATTATTACCTTCTATTTACGTAGCGCCTTTACACGTTTCAGAACACTCTTCTTCCTATTTCTTTTGAACTGCATCACCTGGTGGTTGCAACTGATTATGTTATCGCCATTTGGATAGAGACATTCAGCTGGGATGGGGGTAATTAATGTTTACAACCAACTGGTGAGTGGCTTAGCGTGGATCGTAATTTATATTTCTAGGCTCGGAGTTCTGGTTTCTTTTCGTGGGATTTTTATATCCTTCTCAGCTAGAAAACAAGGCAGAAAATGTGACTTGCCAAAGATATGCCAGAAGCTGGTAGATTACTTATTCGATTATTTTTGAGCAAACTCACCTAGGATAAAAACTGCTGCTCAGTCATCAGAAAAATCTTACTGTGAAGCTTGTTCAGGAGTTGCTGGTTAATTATTTTGTCTGATAAATTGTGTTGCACTTAATGTGCTTAAAAGATAGGGTAATGACTTTGCTAAATCGTGAAGCTGATGGGCACCATGAAGCATTAAGTTATGGGCTGAAGAGAAGTAAACTAAGAGATACATCTTCTGAATTATTAAGATTATTGTTATTTAAAATTAGAATGTGTGAGGAACAAAGAAAATCTTTGGCCAGCCCTGGTTAGAGTTTGACTTGATCCAGATAGAAGTTGCTAAATCTTCTGAAGCTGTAATTCTTTTGATTTTTTTTTTTTTTTTTTTTTGGGAGACGGAGTCTTGCTCTGTCGCCCAGGCTGGATTTTTAAAATTAAATAAATTGAAGTTGGATAAGGAGCTTAAAATAAGTAGGAACCTAGTAAAACATAGATCTTGCTTTCATGACATCTGCAAAACAACTTATTTTTATTTTCATTGTAAACCATGCCTAGATAAATTTGGTTACTAAAGCTTAAAATTGCTTCTGACGAGCCGGGCGCGGTAGCTCACGCCTGTAATCCCAGCACTTTGGGAGGCCGAGGCGGGTGGATCACGAGGTCAAGAGATCGAGACCATCCTGGTCAACATGGTGAAACCCCGTCTCTACTAAAAATACAAAAAATTAGCTGGGCATGGTGGCACGTGCCTGTAATCCCAGCTACTCAGGAGGCTGAGGCAGGAGAATTGCCTGAACCCAGGAGGCGGAGGTTGCGGTGAGCCGAGATCGCGCCATTGCACTCCAGCCTGGGTAACAAGAGCAAAACTCCGTCTCAAAAAGAAAAAAAAAAAAAAAATTGCTTCTGACGTAAGTTTCTGAACACTCCATAAAGTAGAAAAAATAGTCTAATAAAATCAAAGACCATGTTTATGATCAACTTTGAAGAGTTAAAAATTCTGTAAATGTCACCTTTGACAGTAGTAGAATTTCAGTAAAAAGAAGTGTATTACCAACAGTTTTGAGAGAACTCTTCCAACCTCACTAGTCCATTTTACAACTGTTAACAAGAAACAGTATTATTTAAAATAGATTATCTTACCATTGTACAAAGAATAATTACTTGTAAATAAAAGGCATTTTGGACAGGCTGTTTTAAACCCAAATGAGTTGATTGTTGCTAGATTTCTGAAGGTCATACACGGTATGGTAATGCTTTTTGTAAAAATTGTCGTGCCTTTTGAGACTGTTGGTATTGAGACCTGGTATTAAAGATGGGGTGGGGGCAGGAGAGAATAATACATAATTATCCATTTTCATTCTAGTTTCAGAAAATTGTGAATGTACTATTAGAAAATTGTTTTAGCAATATGTTTTCTATATTGGCTAACTTTCTATAGCCTGAATATCTCTAGTTACATAGTTTCAAATAACACAGTGAACACATTCTCCCAATGTAACTTGAAGCAAACTGAACAGACTGTAAAACAGTCCCTGAAACTGTCTTTTGAGTAGCTGCAGTGGTAGCAAATTTTGTTATTTGTAAAGAATCCGATTTTTATTTTTACTTTTTTGGAGACAGGGTCTCATTTTGTCACCAGAAGTACAGTGGCGCGACTACGACTTACTGCAGCCTCAACTCTCAGGACTCAAGTGATTCTCCCACCTCACTCTCACGAGTAACTGAGACCACAGGTGCATGCCACCATGCCCAGCTCATTTTTGTTAGAGATGGAGTTTCGGCATGTTGTCCAGACTGGTATTGAACTCCTAGACTCAAGTGACATTCCCATCTCAGCCTCCCAAAGTGCTGGTATTATATGCCTGAGCCACTATGCCTGGCCAGAATCTGATTTTTGAAAAGGATAAATCTCATAGGTAAAAAGTAGGGTGATAGAGCTGGTTAATACCAGTTAGGAAGCAATAAAAATGAGGTGTGACCACAAAGTCAGAAGTTTTTGCTTTGTTCTTTTTTTTTTCTTTTATTCGAGACGAAGTCTTGCTCTGTCGTGTGAGATGGAGTACAGTGGTGCGATCTAGGCCCACTGCAACCTCCTCCTCCCAGGTTCAAGTGATTCTCCTGCCTCAGCCTTCTGAGTACCTGGGATTACAGGTGCTCGCCACCACACCTGGCTAATTTTTTTTTTTTTTTGTATTTTCAGTACAGATGAGGTTTCAACATGTTGGCCAGGCTGGTCTCAAACTCCTGACCTCAAGCGATCCGCCTGCCTCAGCCTTCCAAAGTACTGGGATTATAGGCATGAGCCACTGAGCCCAGCCTGCTTTGTTTTTAGTGTGGCTTATAAAGGTTATTCCAAAAAAGTAGTTTTGGAAATGTTTTTCAGCAATGGTGGTATCACTGGAATATATAGCTTCCTGAAATGATTAATTTTAAAGAATCATTTGATGTTTTAAATTTTGAAGCCTGTTTACTTTGTGGTCATGCTTGGAAGATCTGCTGTTGAACTACCAGTTTTTAATAGTTTGATGAACATGTTTTTCTTTTTTTTCTTTTTGAGATGGAGTCTTGCTTGCTCTGTCGCCCAGGCTAGAGTGAAGTGATGCAGACTCGGCTTACTGCAACCTCCGCCTCCCAGGTTCAAGCAGTTCTCTGCCTCAGCCTCCTGAGCACCTGGGATTATAGCCTCCCACCCCCACGCCTGGTTAATTTTTTGTATTTTTAGTAGAGACAGGGTTTCACCATCTTGGCCAGCCAGGCTGGTCTTGAACTCTTGACCTTGTGATCCACCTGCCTTAGCCTCCCAAAGTGCTAGGATTACAGGTGTGAGCCACCACACCCAGCAAACATGTATGTTTTTACCATGTGCCGTGTTCTGTCCTAAGTACTTTACAAATATTAACTCACTTCATAACTTCATTTTAATGATTATCCCCATTTTACAGCTGAGGAAACTGGGCACCGAATAATTAAGTAACTTGCCCAAGGTCACCCAAGTAGTGAGTAGATTCATCAGTAGAGTCAGAACTTCCAGGTCTGACTTCAGACCTGGGCAGTTTGGCTTCAGGGTCTGGGCTCTTAACCACTTTGCTGTGCTGCTCCTATGACTTATTCTTGGTTAAATGTTTTAAATTGGTTTGATCTGGAAGAGATGATCGTCCTTTTAGTAAATGATATCTGACATAATACTGTTGTATAATATAAGCATGTTGTGAAAGTAGCCTGTCGATTAGAAAAGTTGTGGTCAACACTCAATTCACATAAGATTTAGCAAGAAAATAAAGAATGTGGCCGGGCATGGTGGCTCGTGCCTGTAATCCCAGCACTTTGGGAGGCCGAGGCGGGTGGATCATGAGGTCAGGAGTTTGAGACCAGCCTGGCCAACATGATGAAAACCTGTCTCTACCAAAAATACGAAAATTAGTCAGGTGTGGTGGTGGGCACCTCTAATCACAGCTACTTGGGAGGCTGAGGCAGGAGCATTGCTTGAACCTGGGAGTCGGAGGTTGCAGTGAACTGAGATTGTGCCACTGCACTCCAGCCTGGGCAACAGAGTGAGACTCTGTCTCAAAAAAAAAAAAAGAAAGAAAATAATGTGTGTGAAGTAAAATAATTTTGCTAGAATTATTTGACACTGAATGTAAATAATTGAACAAAGAGGATGCAAGGGCTAGAACTGGATTCTCAAGAAGTTTAATGCAAAAGGCTGTTTAAAACCTGAGTTATCAGGAGGGGGCACTCATGGGAAAGTTGGTGGTTGTATTAAGAGTATGTCCCTGTTCAAGAACCAAAAATCAGAGACAAATGGATACTCGCACTATATCTAGAGGTGTAAGCAGTATATCTAGAGGTGTAAACGATGCTATTCCGCAGGGATCTCTACTTGACTAAACGCTCTTCAAAGCATTAACTGCTGGTAGGTCCTCTGATACTATGTAAATGGGTCAAAACCAGCAAAAAATACCCCCACACAGAAATGTTTTGAAGTGTACTCCTGAATAACATTTGTAGGTTCAAAACAATTGTAACTCTTTTTGTAGAAGAATTGGCTTCACATTTCAAACACCTTCCAATGTTAGATACTAAGGAAGGCATCTAACAGTCATTAGAAACTTCTGTAACAGCATCCGTTCATGGGCCACACTATTGGCAATATCATCACATGCTGCACAGTAACAAAGAAAACTGAAAACTTGAAAATTATCCAACCAGTGAATAAAATGTTCAGTGCAGAAGTGGCACTAGCCACTTGGCCCCAGAAAGGCAGATAGGTGTATCTAGGGACAATATAAAGCATGACAAAATATTTAAGGAACTGAGATGGCTGCCAAATGATTGTAGGCTAACAAGGCAAGAAATCATCACTTTGGGAAGACCAAGGCTGGGAGGTATTATCAAAGGCTACAAAACCAGAGGGAATACAGTTTTTTGTTCACCAAATCCTGGGAGCTTCCAAGAGGTCAACACATGGGACCTAGGGCAAAGTTAAGACCAAAAACAGGAAGTTCATTGATGGCTACAAAGTTATGGAACTTATCCCAGTTGCTTCACATAAGGTAAAATCAATAAATTTTAGACTTGAAATCATTAACTTACAAAATGTTTTGTATATGGATCAGGACTTTCTTCTGCTGCTTTTCTCCTGAGCTTTTAAATTGCTCTTTTTCTTATTGATAGTAACTTGTTGTCACCACAACCTCAAACATGTCTAGCCTCTCACTCATGCTGTATGCTCTCTGTTCTGTGGGATTCTTGATTTTTCTTGGTGTCATCCATCTGTATGAAGCATTCTATGGGCCCAATGGACTAGGCTTCATCCTGGGACTTGTCTTTATTGCAGTCCTAGGTTTTAGCCCCTGTTTCCTGCATCCTGTGCTGTCCAGGTCATGGTTTTCTCCCTTCTTTTGTGCTTGTCTCAGGAAGTGTGTAGGAGGTAGCCCTCCTGACTTTTTAAGGCTTTGTCTAGTACCTCCTGAGTTCTTGTATAAGAAAAAAATCTTCTCATTTCCTCAGTTGTCTGTTTCCTGTCAGTTCAGTAGGTCCTAAAATTTTCCTATTTATGCTACTGGGTTTTCTTATTTGTCGGGTGGCTCTTGGTTGTCCATTTATATTTCAGGGTTGGACGATGATGATTTGAGGTAGCTAGTGTGCAGTGGTGATCTCCAGGGTTCTTCCCAATAAATCCCATCAGCTCCCTTTTCTTTGATGCGGAGCCTGTACTGAGCCTATGTAAGTGACTGAATGTGGCTGCCTGTGTATCAGATTAATAATTGTGTCTAACTGATGATAGGTTTTCTAATACTGATTTAATATATGGTGGTACATTGTGAGGTAGAAGTAAACTACCCACACATCTTTTTGCTTACTCCATTCCTGAAGTAGGAATTCAGATGTTAATAAAGTGGTACTTTGAAAGTAAAGAGGGAATAATGAAAGGATGATTATAAATCAGTTCAGATATTTATTTTAGAGATAGGGTCTTGCTGTGTTGCCCAAGCTGGAGTGCAGTAGCACACTCATGACTCACTGCAGCCTCAAAATCATGGCTTATTGCAGCCTCACTGCTTCTGGGCTTAAGTAGTCCTCTTGCCTCAGCCTCCCAATGTGTTGGGATTACAGGCATGAGCCACCATGCCCAACCTTAATTCAAATATTTATTGAACTTCTGTTGTGTTCCATGTTTGATGATGTGGAGAGATTTAACCTTTCATTTCTTTAAGTTTGCTAAACCTTCCTGAGTGGCTTGTGCTGGATAAACTCCAAGTGCTCTGCATCTCCAGGTTTTATTAATTTAAAGCTGGTCTTAATTTCTTGCTGCCTAGTATGGATTAGATTGAATCAATTATGCTTTAATTCAGTAAACATCATAGAGTATCCACTATTGTGCAGGCATTGGGCTGAGACGGAACTAAATAAGTCAACCTAACAGGTGACACAAAAGGCATAAGCAAATGCATTGCTCTGTGGTAATTATATCAGTGAAAGCGTGTGTAGGGTATAGCGGTAGCAAAGAGTGCAAGAGGTTTTAATGCTGTCCAATTGAGGGCAAGAAAACCTCTCTAGAAAAGATGACAACTAGGTTTTAAGGATAAATAGAAGTTTTTCTAGTTAGGGGAGCAATTCCAGGTAGAGAAAACCTGGAGTGGGTTTTCCAGACCTGAAATAGCATGGTGTGTTAAGATAGTTTTGAACAGTAGTGCTGTAATATAAAGTGGGATGCTTGGGAAGGGGAGTGCTAGGAAACTATAGGCATGACTCTAGAGTGAACCTGATGATCGGTTGGAGTGTTAGGTAGCTAGTCCAAACGTAAGCTCATTAAATCGCTTTTACCCCTCTCTGAATGCCGTGGGAGAAGAACCAAGATGAAAGAGAGATCACTGAAGTTGGAGATTAGTGGCCTTTTGGAAGGAAGCTTTGGACTTCAAAGATAATTAACAGGAAGTTTTTAGAAATTTAATCTTAGTAAATTATTGGGAACGTGGTGCCTTATTTTCTAGTAGGGTCACCTGGCATACAATGTTCCATGCAGCTGTTTTGAAGCAATTGTACACCTGGGAAGGGCATGCATGTGGTAGCAGCATCTCTGACAATCAGCTTTTTTCTGTCTCCTGATTCCCAGAAGACCACTTGGCTTTAAACCAACTGCTGGAACTCTGTGTGCATCATGATTCTGTTAGCCAAGTCACCCAGCACCTGTGCTGCAACCGAAAGTGCCTCATGTTGCTTTGCATGAAAGAACCTTTGTTAAGACCTCATTCACAATATTGGTGGTCCCTGAGAGGAGCAGTGCAGTGGCTTACGTGCCTGAGTTACAAGAGAGTTGACCACTAGAATCTCTCATGTTTTACTCCCTCCACAATGCTGCAATTTATTGTTGTCCCAGATTTTATGCTTTTGCTTAGATTTCTCTGTTCTCTGTTTGTCTTTAATGTTTCACAGGCTTTCTTGATCATGGATGGTGAAGATATACCAGATTTTTCAAGTTTAAAGGAGGAAACTGCTTATTGGAAGGAACTTTCCTTGAAGTATAAGCAAAGGTAATGTTGAAAAGCACACTAAAAGTAGGGGAGGGCATTTGAAATGCACCATGTCTTGTTTGTATATTTTTCTTTTTAACATAAAGCTAAATTTAGAATTGCAGATTTATGATTCTAGGATTGAGATTCTAGAAATAGTCACCACGTTTTTTGTATTTAAGTAGTATAAACGTGCTGTAAGTCTTTATATTGTTCAAATTATTAAAATAGGAAAACGGTCATTTATGATTTCTTCTGATCATTTGCTTTCTTTATGCTTTTTAGGCCATCTTTGGCCTGCTTTGCGTGCACTGATTCTGCCTCATCATTTTGGTCATTTGGAGATTCTGATAAGCTGTCTAGGGCTCCGTAGAACAGATTACGTCCTCAGGCAAGCATGATCAGTGTCTAGAGCCAGCAAAGCTTTGAGGGAGGGGGAGAAGCTTCAGGGGCATGGAATGTTTTATACAATTTCAATTATTTGGTTGGGAGAACTTTTAGATGAAAACCTTTTGCACCAAAACTTACCTCAAATTTCTTTTTTTAAAATGGGATCTTTCTAAATATTGATACATTTTCCTATTTTGGTTAACAGAGTTTACTAAGTCTTATCAAACCTTTTACTTCTCTTTCATTATTATCAACGAAGTCAGTTTTTCTGTTGTGCCAGTGGATATGAAAGGTGTGTATCTGTGGCAGGGTTCTTAATCTTTTTCTATGTCATGGATGTTGTAATAGGCTGGGGTAGCCTATGGACTTCTCAGCATAATATTTTTAAATGCATAGAATAATAGAATTACAAAGGAAATCAACTATGTTGAAAAAAGTTATCTAATTTATGGCATAGCAATATGTACTTCTCTATTAATGCATTAAGTAAAAAAGATACAGAAGTGAATGTAATAACTACCTAATTTTGAAATAGCCATGAGAATAAGTGATATTTAGAGATAGATGCAGCAATTCTGTTGTGACATGAAAATATCTGTGATTTCTGTTGAATAAAGTAGAAGGAAATGCCAAATTTCTTACTTTAATGAAAGTAAAGATGGATTTTTCTCCCATCCGAGTTCTGTGGTGGAAGAAGTTAAGGGTATTGAACCATGTAGACTTACTTTTCATAAATATTGTAATCACTGACTTGTGACTGCTTTTTGGGCTTGTAAGTAATTTTCATTGAACCCTGAATATATACAGTAAGAGATGGAAAACAGATTGTCTTTAATATATTTTATGAGAGCATTAGCATTCAAGCAAAAATTATCGAATTGCTATATAATCATCTCCAGGACCATTCTTGTGGTTCTTACTATAACTCATCTTTCCCACTTTGTTTCTGATTAGCTTCCAGGAAGCTCGGGATGAGCTAGTTGAATTCCAGGAAGGAAGCAGAGAATTAGAAGCAGAGTTGGAGGCACAATTAGTACAGGCTGAACAAAGGAATAGAGACTTGCAGGCTGATAACCAAAGACTGAAATATGAAGTGGAGGCATTAAAGGTAATTGCAGCAGTAGAAGCTGGTGTCTGTGTTGGGTTTAATTAAAATCAGAAGTATATTTTTCAGGTGTTTAAGAGCAGCAGGTGATAAAAAGTGGTTTTTAAAAAAAGGCTTAAAGTGAATTTTTGAATAAAATGTTTTCTTTCATGGAACCAAAGGAAAAGGTGGTTTAGGGTTTAGGAGTTCACTTAGAAACTTTGTAGCTGTCACTTTTCTAGCTATACTGTTCTAGCTGTATTACATTGTAGTTCCTGTACTTTTCAAAAGCTGCCTGATTATTTGTTTTGACAGAGTACCTCATTCTGAAGTATGTTTACAATTATATTTATAGGAAATAGGGATTTATTTCATTATTGTTCATAGCTCTTTCAGTTTTGGAGTTTAGTTTGCATTAAAGATTTTCCTTTTAAAAAAAGGAGTTTTTAGGAGCAAAAGGATTAATCCTTTTCTCCGCCCTTCAACATCTACTGTAGCCACATATTTGAGGTTGTTTAGTGTTTGGGGAATAGGTGGGTTTGGGGAACGCTGGGTGGGAAGGTAAAGGGTAGGGAATCTAAACTCTGTACTTACCCTGGGCCGCATTTAGCCTGAAAACCCAGAGGTTTCCCCAACAATTTTGGGGATTTTGAGGCAAGGGCTTTTTTTATATTACTTCTTTTCAGAGAGATCATTATTGGGTTTCTTTCTGAGAGGAGAATGGTCAAGAAAATTTAACATGAGTTTAGGCACTTAGAATGAATGTGTGATTTAGTTGTTTTTAAAATAATTGTTACTAGAGTGTGAGTAAATTCTTTGGGTTCTACCCCTACCCTTTTAACTTGAGTTACATCTTTATTAAAGAGGACCGTATATTAATGACACGTACTTTCCTATACTGATGCCTTCAGGAGAAGCTAGAACATCAGTATGCACAGAGCTACAAGCAGGTCTCAGTGTTAGAAGATGATTTAAGTCAGACTCGAGCCATTAAGGAGCAATTGCATAAGTATGTGAGAGAGCTGGAGCAGGCCAATGACGACCTGGAGCGAGCCAAAAGGTAAACGAATGACTGCATTTTGTTAGAAAAAAACGAAGTTGATAATTAGTGATTAAAATCTTTATTGGGCTTTTCCCCTAGATCTTAGTCCCAGAACATTCCCTTTTGGTTTTTCATGTCACCTGTAACT